AGTCCGGACAACACCAAATGGACAACTTGTCGACCTCATTACTCCGAATCTAAGAAGCGAATGTCTCTGATTTTTTGCATGCGCCTCTGATTTCTAAAAGACCTTTAAAAATTCTCGATTGTCGAGCATATGCGACAGAAATAAAGAGGTGCTGTCTGCATATTCATTAGTAATTAATTGCTCATTAAATTCAACCCCGTACACTTTTTTATAGCAAGCGCGGTACTATACTAAAACCATAACAGTACAGGGTGTCGTTGCAAGGGCAAAGCCAGAATTTCAGAGTTTGGTCAAACCCCAAAACGGGGGTCAACAGAGTGCTATATTTGAAGCGCTAATGGGCAGGTCTCTGCCCTCCCCTCCCCCCCCCCCCCCCCCCCCTGTGCAAGTCCATGTTGGCAGAGCAAATCAGAAGGTTTTGCCTGAATTGACATCACTTTGATTTCGTCTAATTCGACTATCTTCCTATCTCATGGTGTAAAGAAACCTTTCAGAAACTCCGTAAAATCATTTTAAAAAATCATTTGCCAGGAGCAGATTATGTCAGTGAACATATTATACCTATGAACCTCGGGGGGGGGGGGGGTGGGGGGGTGGGGGGGACTTTAAAAGGTAAAGCACAAACCAAAATTGCAAATACATGTGCAGAGCTTTCAAAAACAAGTCAATGATTGGAATAACAGCCCTCTGTTTCAGACGACAAAAGCGACAAATGCCATTTTCAAAGTATGTATGTGTGTATGTATCTGGCTCGCAAAGTGTATGTATATCGCCCTCTGGCGAATTTAACTTTTGCCCACGTAGCCCAACGACGGCTTCTAATTGCCAATTGGCCTCTCTGTTTCTTACAAAGACAAGAGGACGAATTTACAGTACAAATCATTTAAAATTATTTCATCAATGATATTTATCATTCAACCTGTCTCTTATTACTGTCAGTACATCTTCTATTGTTAGCATGGCCCTAATTTTTTATTGCCTGTTGAATTTTAAGTCATTCATGGTTCTGTTTGGTGTTCTATTTATTACCTACGTCCCTGGGTTACCTTATTTGGTCAAGACTCCACGCCGGCTATGACAAGGAGCGGCCAGTCGGTATAATTATATAGATCAAGAGGGGATTTAAATGACGTGAGAGACATCTCACTTCGTTAACAGTCTGTCAGAGTCTGTTCCAAAAACAACCCCCCCCCCCCTCTTTCACTTGCCCCTTTTTCCAACCTCACCCCATCCAGACTCTAATTTCTATCATTAGCGTTGGAATTTGACACCGTTTCCTACGTAGATCAGTGTTATGAAAACTGAGAAATGTAACGAAGAGACGAACGATTGAATATAATAATATGTTCGGAAATTGCAATATGCTGACTTCGTTTAATGTGTGCGCTTGATGCAGTGTATAGCATCTGATTCTAAACTTGATCTGCATGGGACAGCGTCATTGGTAAGGTATCAACTGACATAATTTTGTTATCACATTTATTATTTTTTCACGAAGAGTGCACGTCAAAACGTTGTATGTGTGTGTGTGGAAAGTAAGTCTTTGGGAGAAGAACGGGGTGTCAGGGCTAAGAGGTGGTTGTCCCTCACTTCCAGCTTGTTTACTAGATCTAGATCTAATGTACATGTTGTAGTATTTTTGTGTTTCGGGACGATCAGGTCAGCTGTTATCCAAGTTCAGTGGCTTCAATCAATGTCTAGGAACCCAGACTTAGATTTAAAAGTTTGTAGTTTGGATTTTCTTCCACTAAACCCTTTTCATACCTTGCCTCCCCCCCCCTCTCTCTCTCTCTCTCTCTCTCTCTCTCTCTCTCTCTCTCTCTCTCTCTCTCTCTCTCTCTCTCTCTCTCTCTCTCTCTCTCTCTCTCCCTCTTTTGTTTGGTTGTTTTGTTGTTGTTGTTGTTGGGGGTTTTTTGTTTTGTTGTTGTTGTTGGTGGTGGGTTTTGGGGGTTTTGGGGGGGGGGTTTTGGAGGGGGGGGGGTATCGACGTGATTACAGCTCTACAGTTCTAAATTGCCTCTTAAACTAGAGTCCGTACGAGATCACGTGACACAGAAACCTTTGAGTTGGTTTGCGGCCATTTTCGTATAGGCAAAGAAGTTAGTTTTCATGTGAGTGGGCGTGTCTCTGCTCTTTTTAAGGGAAGGTTGGGGTTTTTTTTAGATTCTAACTTTGTGTTTTAGTCCGAAGAGATTCTCTTAAAAGTGCAAGCATGTGAAACCTCTAGTTCATTTCTGGATCAACGTCTTATAGCCTGAGACACTTTCTCACAGTAAATTCATCGCCAGCAAACGTCTGATTAGTCTGGAATTGGAAGACTGAAGAAAACGAGACCAGAAAGGATGGTGCAAAACTGATGTGTCTATCAGTGGTCTAAGAAAGCCTCTAAAGGAACCCCTCATTCTTTTCACTAGTGAGAATAAGATTGGTAAGAATTTAGACAGATTAGATCCAGATCTAGGTTTTGGAGGAAATATTCGAAAAGATTAGGAGCCAGTTAATGAGATCTAACCGATGAAATTTTGCTTCGCCTTTGTGTTTTATTACTTAATTAAAAATCACAAAATCCAAGCTAGATCTACTAATCTGGGTTCTAGATTCACTCACTTGTCTCACTGATCTAAGATATTAAACATGAACAGTCATATGACTGTATGCATCCATAGTAATATAAAAGTATCAGCAATGATATTTTTATGGGATGATGATGTATGGGAGCAACCAAAGATAGGTTGCTATTGTAACCTTCCTCGTGTCTAAAATGTATGATTTAATGTATAGTGACGTATTAGTGACGAAGGAAACCATAGCCAGACTGCGATTAGTGCTGAGTTTGAGTACCGCAAAAAATTGTTGTACTGTCTCTTTACTTTAAAAAAAAAATTTTGCAGTGACAATGTGGGCCTATCTATTACTATCAGATCATATGACTACGCCCTTTCTGTATTGTAGAAGACTGGAAAAAATAACACTGTACTGAGGCTCTCCTAGCCCAGACAATGGTGTGAAAGTTGAAAACACACTTTCCCGCAGTGACACAGATACCTACGCTCTCATTGGACCTTTGTTAGGTGCGTTCTACTTTCCGCGACTACACGACCCAATCCAGCTCATGGACGGAACATGTTTGGAAAGTTGTGTGTGCATGATTGTGTTTGTGCCGCTGAGATTTAACAGTTATAAATCACGTCGATTCCACTTTTAAGGCAACTTTTTCATCCAGAAGAATCTTACTTAGAAGAAAAAGATGGAAGACAAAGGTGACTCTTCTCGTTTGAATGGTTCTCAAAATACCGTGTTTAGGTCGTATCGTTTGCTATTTGGTGGTAAAGAAGTGGAAGCAACTAAGCCCCACCCAAATGTTGGTCCTCCCACCGCCACTGAAATCTATGGGGGGAAATTGGCACAATAGTCACTCCGGGTTGTTGTTGTTTTTTTTAATAAAGAGCCATCAGTAAGGTTCTGGGCCATGTAATGTTAAGGTTGACTAGCAGCTATATAGATTTTTCACAATGGGCAGGTAATTTCTTTTTCAAACAATGTACTTTTATATGTTACACATTAAACATAACACTGGCTCTGATCGTCACACGATGAACAAACATGTTCTTTTCCTTCACTAGTGATGCAGATAAGTTTGGGATCAGTTTCAGTGGCCACAAGTGAGTCTGATTGAACGTTGTCCAAAAACACATTAGTAAAGGTTTTTGTTTCAGTTATCACTACACTGTGATGAAAGACAATTGACCAGGCTATAAACAACGTTAAGTTCACTTTTTTACCTTCAGTGAGTCCCGAGTTGTCACAGTTGTTTTACTAGGCTAATGTCCAAAAGTAGACAACAATAGAAGGAGCTTTAGTTTAAGCTGTATGGTCTTCTTTGGGTTCTTAAAATCAATATAAACCAAAGTTTAATACCAAAAAGAAAACACTACTTGTTTGGTATAATTCCCCAAAATAAGTGAATACAAGTATGAAAAATAGTTTTTCCTCTTCAAATGTCACAAGGGAAAGTTTAACTCGTTTTTCTTTAATGTTAGTACGATTATTCACCATTTGTTTGGTTGAATTTGTTTTATCAAGAGCTTCATTTCCTTCCTACCCCTAATGGCATAAAACTCCTCTTTTTTTCTATGTCTAATCTTGATTTAATATAATGCCAAACCCATACATTGGGGGGGGGGGGCTTGGAATTGGGATTCGGGAGGGGAGAGAGGATGGGGTAGCAGGGATGTTTCCATGGCACCCACATCTTTTCTTACTTCTTTTTAGAAGTTTTAAAGTATCTTTATATACGTTTTGATTCAGTCAATAAGAAATAAACCATCTCCTAGATAAAGTGCTGAAGAAAAAATAACGTTGTTTTGTTGCTATTTTGTTTTGTTTTTGTTTTGTTTTTTGTTTTAAAGCCTATCTGTCTCAGTCTACCTAATAATACATTTAGATCTATTTGTAGATCCAGTGGTAGAAGGAATGCTGTATTATTGCTTTCTAGTAATCTAGATATTATAGTTCGCCTCGGCGCCCCTGTAAAAAAAATAAAAAGGGCCAAGCCTCGCCTATTGCTTAAGAGAGAAAAAAAATGCCTAGATCTAGATCTAGCCCATTGCTTTAGCATGAACTCCTTCACACAGCTTGCCAAAAAGAAATGGCGGACGCGTTGGCGCTGTATCTAGTGCCTAGTAGTGTAGATCAATTTTTTTACCCGACAAAAAAAATTAAGTCAAAACGTCGCATTTCTATAACACAGATTAGTGCGGGCATTAAGTAATATATTGTTTAAATACTTATCTTGTCAGAAACTTGCTCGAAATAAGAATTGAATCAATTTTCGTTCTCCTAAAAACATTGACATTTTGACCTGTAAAAACTGTTATTATGCTAGTGTCGACCTGACTCATCGGAGCGTTTTTAAAAAGAACGAGAGGCAGCAGCTTCAGTCGAGTGGAGATAATTGTAGCGTGTATTGCGAGAGAACTAGATATCTAGGTCACAAACTGGAACTGACGGACCGCGGCTTCAGCTTGATTTGTTCAAGGCTAGACGGTCAGAGAACGTATAGGTTCAAGGACTTCGGTGTTAGTGTGTGTGACTACTTATTTTCCTGGTTGGAGTTTGTGAAGTAAAGTTCCAGTTCGTTAAGAAGCAGGTAATATTGTGTCTGTTCTCACCTTGGAGGAACTATAATAGGAGAGGCCGCGAGTCGCGTAACGTGAAGCCGCTGCAGACGACGGTCTGCCATGTTTGTGAGATCAGCTCAGTTCTCTCAGTTGTAAACTTAGTGTCAACCGAATGGCAGTTTGCGTAGCGTTCGGGTCCGGTGGGCCTCTCATTCAAAGGTCCTGGGTTCGAATCCGAGTAGTGACGGAAAAATTTTGTTCTCTAAACTTCTACTTTCTCTTTCGTCTGCTTTCACCTCCACTTTCTGCCCCTACCTCCTCAGGGCTCCGGACTCTTTCTGCAGCCTTTCTACTGCTACTCCTTGGCTCCTTCTTACCTGTCTTTCAGCCACACCCCTGATCTTCTGGTAGGAAAGATCTACCCCTAGCCTTCTCGGACAAGGGCGAAAAAATCTCGGAGGTCGCGTATGCAAATTGCGCAAATTAAAGGTCCCTTGGTGGTCTAAAATCGATAAGAGTAGGCTTCGGTCGTCACCCAGGCAAAATTCAAAATTTCTTACCAAATGTTTTTTATATAGTTACTCCAAGGTTCTCACAATTGGGAGAATCAAGCATGACGTCTTTTATACCGTGAACGTTTAAAAGCCCATCCTCCTAAAACTTACGTTGAAGTAGTAGTTTTAGTAGTAGTAGTAGTAGTAGTAGTAGTAGTAGTAGTAGTAGTAGTAGTAGTAGTAGTAGTAGTGGTGGTGGTGTTGGTAGTAGTAGTAGTGGTAGTAGTAGTAGTAGTTGTTGTTGTTGTTGTTGTTGTTGTTGTTGTTGTTGATGATGTTGCAGCTGCAGAGGAAACAGCAGTAGCACAAACAGCAGTAGCAACAGGTAGTAGTTACAATATTAACATTAATTTTCTAACACATCCCTGCATCTTAACAAAAAGACAACGATATTATTCATAATCTGTGTATTTTTTGCATGCTGTCTTTAAGTCCATCAGTCTACTGTACCCTGTTAGCTAGGGTTTTTTTTGTGTGGTCTCTTTTTGTCTCTCTGTCTCGCTCTCTCTCTCTCTCTCTCTCTCTCTCTCTCTCTCTCTCTCTCTCTCTCTC